TATATAAATTTAAGTGCTATTGCTATATAAAGCACTATGAAGCAGCGTATGGCTAAGTGCTAAGTGCTATTGCTATATAAAGCACTATGAAGCAGCGTATGGCTAAGTGCTAAGTGCTATTGCTATATAAAGCAATATGAAGCAGCATATAAGTCTTAAGTGCTATTGCTATATAAAGCAATATGAAGCAGCATATAAGTGTTATTGCTATTGCTATTCAGCAATTTACAAATATTAGAAGTCGTCTTTCTAATTTGCTTGCTTTTGAATGTTAGGATAAATCGGCAGACTTCTCTCAATCAACCGGAGTGGGCTTGAAGAACAACATCTATGCCATTTTAGTGATGGGGATCTGTGAGGTCTTGATTGAATACAACTTTAGTACAGGCAACTACAAGTAAGGAATTGAATTCTTCCTTCTAAAGCTTCCGAGCTTTTGAGTTCATATCTTTACCTTTGGCAATGTGTTGTTTGCAGTAAGAACAAGTTTGAAGATGTTTTGAGCCTGTTCAAGTGCTACGCGAGTCTTTGTGAAATCCTGAAAGAGAAAGCGGGAAAGAACAAACTCTCGTCCACAAACAAAATTGCCCGAAGTTTCCTATCGATGGGTTTTGTGTGTACTTTACTTACAAGTCTCTTCAGGTAAAAAAAAAAAAAAAAAATTTTAAGTACTGATCCTTCCCGGCATGTTTTGAAGGCTCAAAAGCAGCCGACAGAAACGAGGTGGACTGGAAATGGCACTAGAAGTATAGAAATGAGCTATAAAAGCCAGTCATAAAATCAGCCGACATCCATGGCATTTGTATATTTTCATGAGGAGTGGTGCGGCAGCCTAGAGATGGAGCTCACTCCTCACAATCAGGAGGCTGTGAGTTTGATCCTAGGTGGAGGCAGATATTTCTCTCTCTGGACACAATGAGAATATATCTGCTGAACAAAACTCCACATTGGTGACAGGGAAGGGCATCTGGCCAGTAAACACTCTGCTAGCTCCATTCAGTTGCCCAGACTCCATTCCACAAGGGATTATGGGGTCATTAAAAGACGATGATGATTTGTATATTTTCATGCCCTCCCCTTTCTCTGTTTTACCAACTCAGTCCAGAATTTTCTTCCAACCCTTTAGGGATTGTGCCCAAAGCCACGAGGAGAGCCTGGCTGTTCTCCGCTCCAGCACGGAGTTCATGCGCTATGCTGTCACCGTAGCGTTGCAGAAGGTCCAGCAGTTGGATGAGACGGGGCAGACAGACGGGCCAGAAGGAGAGAACCCGGGGAAGATGTTCCAGTATCTTTGCAAAATCACTCGGTCAGTTGAAATGCTACGTGGTCAAGAGGTTTAAGTATTTTAATACCATTTTTTTGTTTTGGTCTCTAAGAAATGCAGAAATAATATCTAGTAGAACCTATGTACATTCTTACCGTGTTCCCCTGAAAATAACACAGGGCCTTATTTTCTTTTGACCCCCGAAATAAGCGCTTGGCCTTATTTTCAGGGAGGTCTTATTATCTCTGAGGTGCAGGAGGCCCCCTTAACCTCGGCCAATGGCTCATTTGATCCAGAGAGGGCCGGAAGTTCTGTCTCTGTTTCTGGCACACTCTTGCCAGCCCTAACATCGCTGGGCCTGCTGCTCTTTTTGCGACTGCCACTAAGAGAAGGGGCGTGAGGCCGTTCTGTGTGTATGACAGGGGCCCGTGGGGCATGTTCCTCCCTTCCCACCAGGAAATGGCGGGGACCGGCTGCGCATGCGTTTAAATATTTTAGGGGAGAGCTTATTTTAACGCATGCGCTCAAAAGCCGGATTGAGCTTATTATCCGTGGAGGTCTTATTTTTGGGGAAACAGGGTACCCACTTAAGCTGCTTCCTTTTGGGATACAGTATGCAGAGTGCAGAAATGGAGTAAAATATCATAAGCCAAGAAATATCAGGTTATAATAATAAAGGAAACACACTGTAGCTAAATTTGTCTTCCACATCTCAATATATATTCCATGCACTTCTCTTCTTGCAAAAACTTTGTTTTTATTAGATCTTCTTACTATTAAAGTTCCTTAAAGGCAGCACAAGAAGAGTTTAACGCAGTATGAAAGATGCATGGACTTATTTGTTTGGTCTACATGATCTAATTCTTGACTATCCCCCTCTTCCTGTAGAGTCCTCCTCTGGAGATACACGTCAATCCCAACATCTGCAGAAGAATTTGGGAAGAAGGATAAAGGCAAAAGCATCTCGTTGCTATGCTTGGAAGGCCTACTGAGGATTTTTAACACAGTGCCACAACTTTATCCAACCAAAATCTCACAGTTCCTCCAGGCTTTGGGTAGTTTTGATTCTGCTTCGTTCACTAACCCGAATTCTATCTCCAGGCATCCTTTTCACACCCGTGTAATGAATTTCTTTTCTGGATTTTCACTTCGGCTTGACTACCATTTTTTTCATTCCCCTTTCATAGATATCGCAAATGAAGATGACGAAGAAGCAGCAGAGGTGAATGTCACTGAAAAAGCTGCCTTCCAGATTCGGCAGTTTCAGGTGAGCTAAAGCATGTGAGCTCCCGTGACTTTTTCCCAGCTTCTGCCAACCTAGCAGCTCGAAAGCATGTAAAAATGCAAGTTGAAAAATAGGGACCACTATGGTGGGAAGGTAACAGCGCTCCATGCTCCTTCAGTGTTTAGTCATGCCAGCCACATGACCACGGAGACGTCTTTGGACAGCGCTGGCTATTCAGCTTTGAAATGGAGATGAGCACCGCCCCCTAGAGTCGGGAACGACTAGCACATATGTGTGAGGGGAACCTTTACCTTTAAAGCATGTGATGATGACCACTAAGTAGCTTCAAGAAATTGGAGCATCAGAGGTTTGACAAGCAATCAGAACTCCAATTTTGGAGCACTCTTGAGAAAAGATTCTGTAATTATTCCCAAGGTAATTTTCCCTAAAAAAAAATCTTCCAAGTGCCCTAGAGTAGAAATGGGATGCTTGGTTCTCAAAGCAATCTGCTTTGGATGGTTATATTTGTTTGTTGTGAGTTTCATCTTTTCCTTTTTGCCTTTTTCAGAGATCGCTAACAAACCTGATCAGCAATACAGAAGAAGATTTTAGCAGCAAGGAAGCTCTTCTGTTGATCAACATCCTTGTGATGCTCTCGAAACTGTTGGATCCTTCCTCATCCCAGGTATGCATTTATTTATTTGTTTGGGGTTTTATTTTTGTATACCCTCCTTATTATTTTTACTAATAACTCAAGGTAGAGAACATACCTGATACATTAACCTCCTTGCTATGCTTTCCAGAATGGCAAGGAATTATTGAGTATTATAGACGTACAATTGATTTATTATAAAGTTTTTGTTCTTAAGTTGGTTCTTGACTTCAGTCTACATTGTCTGTGTCTGTCTGTCTGTCCGTCTCTCTCTCTCTCTCCCTCCCTCCTCCCCACCCCTCTCTCCAGTTTCCAAAGATCTCTATAATAGCTTGTTGCTGTTGCTGCATTAAATGTTGGTGTGGTCATATTACCCTTGCCAACAACACTGCCTTTTTCAGGACTCTATTTTAACGGCCTGTTACTCTTTATTAATTTTAAGTGGCTGCTCTGAAAGCTTTGTCCATTGAAAAATTGAACTTAAGTGACTGAGGAGTAATCAACTAATGAGAAATCTATTTCTCTACATAGTTCGTACAGCTGTTATCATGGACAGTGAAGCTTTGCAAGGAAACTAGCTTGGGTAAGTGTTAATTGCTTGATTGCTTCAGTGAGATTTGGGCTGCTCAGTACCTCCGTGTAACCAGTACTGATCGGAGATTGGCTGAGCACCTGATTTAAGTGAGTGAGCCAGTAGCCTTTTATCCCCACTTTTAAAGCCAGTTGTGTTCATTGTGCCCACCTCAAAGGTTTTGCTAGTGGGAACCAAATTGGGACTTTCAACTATGGATAATCCCGATTGGTGATACTATAATTCATTATGACGATGAAAAATGAGGAAGAAATATGTCTGGTTCCCCAATGAACTAATCAGTCATGTCTTATTTAGCAACTTAAATATCGCTTTACAGTGCTTTACAGCCCTTTCTAAGCAGTTTGCAATGTCAGCCTATGCCCCCCGCCCCAAATCTGGGTCCTCATTTTACCCACCTCAGAAGGATAAAAGGCTGAGTCAATCTTGAGCCAGTCAGGAATCAAACTCCTGGCAATGTAAGCAGAGTTAGCCTGCATTGTAACCACTGTGCAGGAAGGAAGGAAGAGCACTTAGACTTATATACCGCTTCACAGTGTTTTTGCAGCCCTCTCTAAGTAGTTTACAGAGTCAGCATCTTGTCCCCCTCCCACCCTCCACCCCCAACAATCTGGGTCCTCATTTTACCGACATCTGAAGGATGGGAGGCTGAGTCCATCTTGAGCCTGGTGAGATTTGAACTGCCATCTTGGCAATCAACAGAAGAGGCCTGCAGTACCGCATTCTAACCACTGCGCCACCACGGCTCATTTGAATATACTCGCGGGATTTTATAGCAAAAAAAATAAAATGCAAACCACTAAAATCAGGACAGTCTAACCATGTACAGGAGAATGATTGGTTTATGCCTCCAAAGATGAGCGAGGTTGAAATCAGCCACATTCCAAAGCTTTCAAAATTTGTTGATTAGCGCTTTTTCTCGTTCTCTGCAGAAGACGCTCCTTGCTGCAAAGGTTTACTCTCTCTGCTTTTCACACTTCATGCTCTTGTTAAGAGCCCTGTCACCATACTGCGTGATCTTGCCCAAGACATCCATGCTCAGCTGGGAGACATAGACCAGGTGAGGAAGAGCCCAGGTGGACTTTAAAGATTGAACTTGAGATGATGCATTTGCCAGGGAAAAAGATCATCCAACATTTTCCCTTTCAAGATAAGTTGTAACGTGATTTGATACAGGGCATTTAAAGTATGACCCTAGCTTATAGTTCAACATATTGTGCCGATTGTCATGGTTATACTATATCAACCAGCCATGATCAAAACAACCCATCATAAACCCAATCAATTTATTTAACTTTTAATGGGATTCTTGAAGTGGCAAATCCTCCCAGTAGAGTTACTTCATAGGGGAAATGGGTGGCATAAAAATTTAATTAATAAATAGCAATAGCAATTAGACTTCTATACTGCTTCACAGTGCTTTTACAGCCCTTTCTAAGCAGTTTACAGAGTCAGCCTATTG